GTTCTGAGTGGACCTGTCCTGTTAAACCGCTGTATGGTCTTGGCCACCGTGCTGCAGCTCAGTTTCAGGGTCTTGGCAATCTTCTTATAGCCTAGGCCATCTTTATGTAGAGCAACAATTCTTTTTTTCAGATCCTCAGAGAGTTTTTTGCCATGAGGTGCCATGTTGAACTTCCAGTGACCAGTATGAGAGAGTGGGAGCGATAACACCAAATTTAACACACTTGCTCCACATTCATACCCGAGACGTTGTAACACTAACGAGTCACATGACACCGGGGAGGGAAAATGGCTAATAATGCCCCATTTGGACAGTTTCACTTAGGTGTGTACACACTTTTGTTGCCAGCGGTTCAGACATTAATGGCTGTGTGTTGAGTTATTTTGAGGGGACAGCAAATTTACACTGTTATACAAGCTGTATACTCACTACTTTACATTGTAGCAAAGTGTCATTTCTTCAGGGTTGTCACATGAAAAGATATAATAAAATACTTAAATTAAAAGATGCTTGCTCCTTGGGAGGAAAGCTATGGCAAATCTAGACAGCATACTAAAAAGGAGACATCACCCTGTCGACAAAAGTGCATATAGTCAAGGCTATGGTTTTCCCAGATACAATGTACGGCTGTGAAAGCTGGACCATAAAGAAGGCTGAGCACCAAAGAATTGAGGCCTTTGAATTGTGGTGCTGGAGGAGACTCCTGCGAGTTCCTTGGACTACAAGGCGATCAAACCAGCCAATCTTAAAAGAGATCAACCCTGACTGCTCTTTAGAAGGCCAGATGCTGAAGATGAAACTCAAATACTTTGGCCACCTAATGAGAAGGAAGGACTCACTGGAGAAGGCCCTAATGCTGGGAACAATTGACAGCAAAAGAAGGGGACGGCAGAGGATGAGGTGGCTAGATGGAGTCACTGAAGCAGTTGGTGTGAGCTTAAGTGGACTCCGGGGGATGGTGGAGGACAGGAAGGCCTGGAGGAATGTTGTCCATGGGGTCACGATGGGTCAGACATGACTTTGTGACTAACAGCAACAACAACATTAAAATAAACATGAAGAATAGTAAGACCTTACCTGTATTTTACTCAGTTCAGCTGCAGGTATATCAAAACACACACCCTAAATACAAATAACATTGTCAGTCATTTAACAAGATATAATTTGGAGATTAGACAGTTATTAACAGGTTAACACCACACAATTCTCAGGCAATGAGTGCCTGTTCTTTTACAAAGCTGCCTACTAAATTTCATATATTCTAAGGAAGATAATAAAAGCAGAGCTAGTTAACGTCCTGGTAAAAGATATATGCATTATAGACCAGCACAAATAACTAAAAAGGCTATTCCATGGTAATACAGGATGGTCTGTGTATAATGTAAGTCAAATGAAGAAGCACGAAACCATCTGTGATTCATTAGGGCTTACTGCAAGTGATAAACTGTATTACAAAGCTGTCCTGCAAAAATATGAAGTCTATAAAAAGTGCTTTGTATGCTTTATACTATATATAAAATAACCAGCTTTGTGTCTGAACTTCCCTCTCCAGGAAAACACTCAAACACAATCTTATAAAAGCCCTCTCCTCATACCCTACAATTTTGGTTTTCAAGTGCAAGGCTTCTGCTTGGGACTTTATTACCAGGTCAGAGGGGGATATGCTGTAAAATGTTCAAGCAACAGTACCTAAAAATCAACAGGGCAGTGTTTCTCACCATTTTTCCCTTGAGAAAGCGCATTCTGCTCACTTTGCTGTCAATGTCTTCGCCCAGTTGCTCTTTCAGACTTCGCCAAGCATAGCCAATAGTATGCATTTCTACTGAGCACTGAAGTGTCATGGTCACAAAGCCCTTTAAAACAATGCAATGATACATGTTTATAATAAATATATCTTAAAACTATTATCATTTGGTAGTTAAAGTGTTTTGACAAAGACCTACTGATCTCTATTTCAGCCAAAACCTACAAAACATTTTCTCTTTGATTCATACCGTGGGGCAATCAAAAGATAAGATAACTAGATCCATATAAAATGCAAGGTAACTTCTTAGAGTGGAAACTTTCCTTTTGAACTTTAACTACTTGCAGTGCAGAGAGGGCTACATCGTTCCAGAACATGACTGAGAGCAAAAACAAAATAGATTCTATGCAACAGTAACCTCCACCAGAGAAATACTTGAGTTGCTAGCACAACAAAATAAGGCAGCTGCAATAAATATATTGAAGGCTCCACTATGATTCAGTAAAATTAATGAACTTAGGACAGAATCCAACGGGGGCTCACAACTGGCTAAGTCGCTTTTGTCCTTCCAATCGTGGTGTGCAAGCAGTCCTCACTGCTTGTACAATGATGTAGCACTTCCAGGGCAACATGGGGGTGCTCTACCAAACTGCCTCCTAGAAATAAGCATTAGCGGGGGGGGTGCTGCGGGGGGCACTCAGGAAGATAAAAGTGGGTCCCACATGCACAGTGGAACTGGCAAGATCCATTGCCTATGCAGTTTTGATTTATTGCCTAGAGTGGCCTGTGGTACAAAACAGAATCAGCAGGGCCATAAACAGCTTGTTGGATTCTGCCCATAATATTCAGCTGTAATAAAATCTGGATGTATCCAATATGTAGCTCCTCTGTGGGAGGCTAGTCTGATCATTCATTTCCACAAAGCACTTTATGGCCAATGCTTTTAAACAGGTTCTAAATCCTGATGAAACAGGAACTCTGATTATTAACAGTAGTTAATGTTGGTGCTGACATAATACTTAATCACTATTTACAGGGAGAGGTAGGAGAGAGAAAAGAATTCATTGCTAAAGAAAAGGTACACATACTCAACAAAATAAGCCTCTGGTTTCCTCCAGCAGAGTCTTCTTATGTTTACATGTTCCAAGCAACCCTTGTTGCTTAGAAGCTTGCAAATGTGGAAGCAGTCAAGATTTGTAAACTTTGCAGGGCTGATGCCTACAGGGCAGAAGGAATGGTCGAGGCAAACTGTGCCTCCTCTTCCTCTAATTTATTTTAGCTTCGAAGGACTTTTCAGTCCATCTAGTGAAGGTGTTTTGGAGAGGTAAGGAAGAAACTGCCTGAAGGAGACTTAGAATATTTCAGCGTCTGGCTTCTATGGTCAACTCTGATCCCCACCTACTGGAGCATCCCCCTCTCCCCAGCTCTGGAGATGTAACAGGCACACTGTACTGGCTGCAAGAGATTGAGATTAGAATGCTGCCAATGCTTTCCAACTGTGGAAAGAGTTTTCTGAGTCATCCTATAGTCCCTGGGATGCTCACCCAGGTCTACAGGACTGCTCTCCCCACTGTGGTTAATCATTTATAAGCAGTAGTCAAGAGGAGAATGTATTGGGTATGAAAACATAAACTACATAAATGAAAATGATTAATTGGTGTGCCAGTTATGTCCGTGTTGTCATACAAATCTTGGGGTTTGCTTTCAAGAATGTTAGAAAGATAAGGATATACTTAATCGTGGAACTCAATCCCACTGGAGATCAGGTTGGTGTCATGCCTTTATTCTTTTAGACACCAACTAAAAACATTCCTATTTCGCAACTACTTCGGTGGTTGAATTTGTTGAATTTATTTTGAATTATTTTTGGTAATGGTTTTAAAAGATTTTTAACAGTGACAACTGCTGCTGCTGTTACATGATTTTAATACTAGATATGTTAGTTATGTACATTTTGCTTTTTGTTTCAATTGGCTTACTATGTTATTTTCCATTATCATTTCACATTTTCTCATGTCATTTCATTTTAGTTATTTTACGTTATTTGAGTCTATTTTTAATTTTATCAGTTATTATATTTATTGATTTTACTGTTATTACTGGCTTTATTGTAAATTGTGGATATTATTGTACTGTTGTATTTGATTACGTATGTTGTGAGCTGCCCAAAGAGCCTTATGGCTAATGGGGTAGCATATAAATCAAGTTAATGAATAAATAGTCCCTTGGATTATGTAAGCTATTATTTACCACATCAGAGTTAAGCAAAGAACGTTGTTCAATGGAAGTAGCTCCTGAAATATGGGCCAATGCTGCAGCAAGAGCTTCCACTGCTCCCTTTTCTTCTATAAGTCTTTCAGCAGATTGTCTGAAGTAGTTGATAGCAGACGGAGGAACAGAATCTAAAAATCTGAATACAATGTTTTAAGGTCAGTGTATATAAAACAACTGAAGTTTAAAATTAGACATGTCATTAACATATGAATCATCCAAGTAAGCACAGTTGAACAAGATAAAATCCTGGAACTAATTAAAGAGTAAGCCCAATAGAACAGTGGAACTTAACTTCTGAATAATCATGTTCAAGACTGGAGCTTTGGAATCTTAGATTCTACTCTGCCCGGCTGACCAAAGCTTTCATTATCATGTGTTTTCCTAACCAGAATGAACACCAGTATTATTGTTCCTGTAAGTGAGCTAAATAAAGAGAAGGTAGTTAAGCAGAATTCTTAATCTGTAAATGTTAAGAAAATGTTCCCAATGATGTTAAAAGGCTGAATACTTAAACAAATCTTTAAGAGATTTCACTACATTTACCTGATACACTGCTTTAAACTGTTCAGACTTACATAGTTTTATTCTCAAAAAACCTGTAAGATTACTAAAATCAATAGAATTCAATTTGATACAATTCTCAAAATTTATTATATGAAAAGCAATCTCTATGTTGCTAATTTACTTTTACTGTATAATTTAATGTTCGAAATTAATGGTATTTCCATTATCAAGATGTACTTTGAGATAGAATGTACTGTTGTTGTTGCTTGGACAGATAATTTCAATGACTCTATATATATTTCTGCAGCAAAACAACTTAGAGCTTAAAATAAAATGACAGATGCACATATACATAAAAATGAAACCTTGGTAATTAAGGAAAGCAGTAAACACAAATTCTCTGGAACACAGATTTTTCAATGCAAACAGATACAGACATTAACTTTAAGGCTTAAAGACCAAAATAAACCGTAAATAAACATACCTAATTGCATCTTTACTGGAAGCTTTAATGATCTCTGTTGCTGTTGGAACACCTACACGTTTAAATGTAATCCCCTGAAATTATAGGACAAATTGCTTAATAAAGCTGGTCACAGAATTAGCTGTGCTGACATTGTGATAGCAAGTATGAACACTTACAGTATTTTTCAGTGTGTAAACTATGCTGTGCCTTAGGTTCCTAACTCACAAATGACACAAAAGCTATGAAAAATATAGAGATAATTACCGCTTTTTGTTCTACTTGTCTTAGCTGATGATCTTCTTTGCGCTGATAGAAACAGATGCATATGCCATTTCTTCCAGCACGGCCTGTGCGCCCAGAACGATGAATGTAAGAGTCCACATCCTTTATAAATTAAAATTTGAGAAATGGTTACATTTTTTTTACCAACAAGCTACAATGAATGCAAGATGTCATATTTATCAACATAAAGGGAGGTAGCTAACTTCATGTAAAGGCAGACAGACTAAGAGCAATAATGAAAACTGCAGAAACTTTGTGGAAATTGTGTAGAAGCTAAAGTTATGACTTGCCTAAACAAGTACCCTATAAGGCTGAGAGGTTAAGCTCTCCAACTACATATTGTATGCATTCCTAAGACTAGATCTAAGACACTTTACCTGCTGTTAAAGGCTTCCTGACAATAAAACTACATTTGAGTGAATCTTACTATTTATCTGCAAAAGGAGAATTCAAACACATACACAACAATTTTAATACTGCTTTGATGATACTAGGGTACCTAATATTAGTTCAAATTTGAATAGTTCAGTTTGACTAAAATAAATACCATGAGAATGTGCAAGTTAGGATTAACTATACTCTAACTTTTAAAGGAACTTTTACTTTTATTTTACAACTTTTATTGTAAAGCCGCCCCGAAGCTTCGGCGAATGGGGCGGCATAAAAATGTTTTAATAAACAAACAAACAAACAAACAAAGAAAGAAAGAACACAACTGATTTTATAGCTGTGTTTTGCTCTCCCACACTAGTGAATTCTGCTCCAAAAGGAAACATGGGAAAAACACATAAGAATCCCGAATGCAATTCAACAGATGGGCCCCCTTTGTATTAGGTTTGAGAACTGTCTCCTGGGCTACTTGCAGCAAGAAACATTACCTCACCCGATGCTGCTCTATAAAGTGAACACAAAATTAATCATGTACCTTTGGTGGTGAGCTTTGTATTACCAGATCAACCTCTGGGATATCTAAGCCACGGGCAGCCACATTGGTTGCAACAAGGACTCCAAATGTTCCATTACGGAAGCCTTTCAGAGTGATTTCTCTTTGCTTTTGTGGGATGTCACCATGTAAAGATTGTGCATCCTAAGAAAAAAGAAAGTTATGGAAGAAACTGCTCAAGTAATAAGAATCACAATATCCATCTTTTTTCAAAGCATTTTAAATAAGGAATCACATATTTTGGATGACACTAGTATCTGTCCCAAGTTATAAAGTATCTACTTTTATCTGTTTAAAGAAAGCACTGTTTTCTGCCTGTATTTTCATCCCAAAGTTTAATGTATGTTGTCCCAGACAGCTCAATGAAGAAAACACAATATTCCTCCTTTTACTTAAGTTCATGATGTGTTATTTTATATTGTTTTAATAACTGAGGTTTTATATTGTAATTTTATATTCTGTAAGCCATCCTGAGCGCTTGGAGGAAGGACGGGATATAAACGTCTGTAATAAATAAATAATAAATATATTGCATTATGTAACAGCTGAAATGGCACTGTAAGGGGACAATCCTATGGCTGCAAGATACTGGCCAGGCTCAGTTATGACGACAAACCATCCTGGCATGGCTTGTCTTTCGGTCAGAACCCAGCAACTATGGTGGTGCATGGTAAGGATGGTCTCATGTAACCACACAGAGAAACCATGGTCCATGCTATGGTTCCCATGCTTTAACGTGACTTATGTCCCTCTGCTTGCTGTTGTGCCTGCACCTTGCCTTGATCATTCCTGCTCCCGGTTCCTGCCTTTCCATGCTGTGCCTGCCTCCTGCCCGACCTGTATCCTATTTCACTGTGTTGCCTCAGTAACGCAGGGCTTCCTGGCAGCTGTAGTTCAGCTCCTGCTTCTTGCCCAACCCTTGCTGCATCTGGTTCCTGCCATGCCATGTCTCCCCCCGTTATCCTGTCCAAGGCACCTGAGCATCTGTTTGTCCACCTTGTTCCTGATCCTTGGCTTTTTCCTGACCACATCTTCCTTCTGCCCTCAAGCATTCTTCTGGTTTCTGATCTTGGCTGTACCATGGCTATGACTTGGCCTTTCCACTGAACCTTGTGTTTGGACTCTTGTCTTTCCCAAAATTTTGTTCCCCTGGTCCTGGTGCCTCTGTTGCTCGTCTTGTCTTGTCTATGGCTGCCCATGTCTTGGCCACAAACTCTGACACCACATTTCTGCATAGTTTCCATTTTTCTTCCATATGAGTCATGTGCAAAGAGTGGCCACAGCTGCAGCAGATGCTCCTGCCTGCACTTGCTGCTGGCCAAATCTGCCTAGCAATTGCTGACTTGCATCCAGCAGCACTCTGACTGGCCACTCTGAGCTCATTTTTTTCTTCTTTTTCTGCATGCTCTTTTCAGCTGTCTACCTGCAGATTTGAAATTTTGGTGGCAGCAGGGCATTGCATTGTGCTGTGCTGCCTCCAGCAGCAATGACTTTGGAAACAGTCATGCTTGATGCTCCTGTCTGGTCACTGCAGGTGGTGGTGTCTGGAACTGCCTAGTATATGGATTACTTATGCAACCAGCACTCTCCTTCAGGGGAAGTTGTCTATACAAGAACATGCAGGCTGCACATGGGCAATGCTTTGGAAAGCCCAAGTCTCACAAGCTCTGCTTTGCTCCTATCACTTGCCTGACATTCCTCAGGACTGTCAACAAGCCCCCTGTCCCCTAGCCAGTCCACCACAACTTTAGGACAAACACATCCCTAGCAGCCAGCTGAGAAACCTTCCCAGATGCCAACACACTTCTCAGGAAACTATTCCCAGCAGGATGCATTACCTCCATTCCACACAGATGGGCTCCATGTGACTGGCTGCAGGGGGAAGGCAGTCCCTTCTAGGAAGTGCAGTTCCTGCACTTGGGGAAGCATACAGATGTGGAACAAGAAAGGAGCAATAAGGAAAGTGAGTGTGGGTATGTTTGTTTGTTGGCCCTGAGTGTGGTAGCACACGGAAATGCTCCCGTAGTGCTATTTCAGAGCAACAGTGCTGCTCTGGTGAGTAGACAGTTGCTTCTTTTGAGCAGCAGGGGAATAAAAACTCCAGCAACGGCTGACTGAGACCATGTCCAGGGGAGCCTGTGGGCCAATGAAGGAGACATAGGCAATGCAGGGAGGAGCAGTGCTTCCTGGAATTTAATTTCAGCTGTGGGGGCTGATGGGATATCAGTCATCATCAGGAGGAAAGATGGAAAATAGTGGAAACCATACAAACATGGAAATCACATACCTGTCTGAACCCAAGACACAGGGTAAGGTACCATCCCACATGGTAACCATGACACGGTTTAGTGTTACATGTGAATGCAGCCACAGTATGGAAATCCCAGCTACAACCTCAGAAATGCATTCCAGGGTCAGAGCTGGGACTGACTTCAGAGTGCCTCCCCTGACCTCACAGTCGGCATGTTTTTTTGTTTTTGTTTTGCAGCTAGTTGAAAGGGGGATAGGGAGGAAAGATTTGCCCCTTTCCTTGTGAGCAGGGGCAAAAGACACATGCAGCCAAAACTGGTTGTCACTGCCTTTTGCAGAGAGAGAAGCAAGAAAGCAATCTCTGCCTCCAAGCTTCTCCTGCGTTCAATTGGTTTCAGAAGATTTTGGGAAGCACATTGGATGGCACCCTACAATATGTTGGAAAAGTTGTGGGGAGTCACATTATTTCAGTTATGGGGAAGCTGGATCAATTAAATTTGATCTAACAAATTTAAATTAAGTTAATAAAACATTCTGGGGGGAAAGCATATTTTGAGTTCAGGATCCAAGAATTTCTTGTCAATACTTTCTGGTCACCCTACAATTAACTTAAGAAAGTTAAATTTATAGAATTCCTTTCTAAACACTAGAGACACTGCACCTGTTTTATTGAGGCATTCAGGGCTAATTCAGTTGCCTCCTTTTTTGTCTCACAAAAGATGATGGTTCGTCCATGACTGCCACTGTAGACTTGAATGACATCTCCAATGACTGCAGCTCTTTGGGACCAATGACACTCAATAGCCAAATGCTGTCAGAAAACAACATTGCCGATTAGTAATGAAAAAGCAGAAAAGACTATGCAGAACTCTCTCCTACTCCGTCTCTCTCATACACCCCCCCCCCAAATACATAGTTCTGCTTGTTTTACTAGGAAAAAATGCATACCTCTACAGTCATAGCAGTCTTTTGAGTTCGCTTTCCAATAAGATCGATTTGCTCGTATCTGGATTTCATGTATTTTTTTGCTACATCATAAACCCAATGTGGGCAAGTTGCAGAAAAGAGCAATGTCTGGGGATTGTCTTCAGAATCTTTAATAGAAATATATTTTATGTCATAAAAGATCAAAGCTAACCACAATAACAGAACAAAGATATTTTCAAAACTAAATCCCTGTAATTTTTAGTAAGCAGAGCCAGAATAAAAGAAGGAAAAATTAAATGACTATATGCCATATTTACTGCTAATTCTTATATATAACTTCTCAAAGTACATTTAGACAGAAATAGGTAAAAAGGATAATGGAAGCCAAGCATATGTTCCTTACTCATATAGTGTATCATAGTTTATTTAATAATTTGAGTCCAAAGTTCATATAGTTTATTTCTTCATAAATGGGCTATTCTGTATCTTGTACTCAAATTATATTTAGCAAGTGAAGTCCACTGATATAAAATCAAGGACAGAAATGAACAATTGGCTTTCCTGCATTGAGCACCTGCACACCAATTCAAGAAAGAATTTAGACATTCGATCAAAGTACTCAGACTTCAGGTTAGAGCAGATTTCATTCTAACTCAAGGTGTACTGCAACAGAGCAACTTTTCAGCTAATTAATTCAAATTCAAAAGATTTCTACAACCTGATGTGACACAGATGACATATTACCTTTCTTATACGCATAAGCTAAGATTTCCTCTACTTGTTCAGCAAAACCCATGTCCAACATCTGATCAACTTCATCCAAGACAACATGCTGTAGATTGGAAATGTCCAACTTTCCATTCTGAAGGTGGTCTTTGATTCGTCCTGGAGTCCCAACCAAGATGTCAATTCCATTTCGAATTGCATCCACTGAAAGGAACAGCGAGACCTATGTATCAAACTTCTAGACTTAATTTCAAAGGTTGTGACACAGTGCATCTGAAGTTGAATGGCACATTTAAAAATGCTGCCTTTAATAGGACAGTCATCTCCAATATCCAAGATCTGCAAGACAGTACTTTGGAATATTCCCAAACCCTCATGCCAGATTAAAAAATATTCTCATTCAGAAGCTTGTTTTTTAATTTGCCAATCATTTAACATTAGAAATACAATAATCTAAGGCTGAAACCCAATGCACTTGGAAGTGATTCCTTTAAAAATGGTAGAGTTTATTTCAAAGGAAACGGAGCTGTGATTCTCTCCATACCTTCGGCATTTGATGTACCTCCTCACCTACATTGTAAGCCGTCCCGAAATGCCGAGGCATGAGGGGACGGCATATAAAGGTTCTAAATAAAATAAATAAATAAATAAATACTATGTCAGGTGACAAAGATGCCCTGAACACCACTTTCAAATTTCACACCTCCCTGAGCTCAGCAAAGTATCACAAGTTTTTTTTTTTAGGATGGATGAACACAATTTCCTTCATTCTTTAAAGACAACAAAGACTAAGTCATGACGTGATTTTTTAAAAAATCTGGGATGTAATATGAATGCCTCTTTAGCAACGATGAACATACTGCTCATGCATTCAGCACAAAGTCTTCTAGTCTTACCTAATAAAAATTAACACTATTCTTCACATTTCAATTGTTCTCTACCCCACCCCCACAAAGGCTCCTTAAATGTGGTGCCACCACCAAAAACACATCTCCTTGTGATTTCTTACTTTGTCCATTGTACGCTGTTCCTCCATAGAAGCAAGCCACTGAGAGTTTCTTTGTGACATCTTTGAAGTCTTTGGCTACTTGTATTGCCAGCTCTCTTGTTGGGGCAAGAACTAGCACCTAAGTTTAACACACACACACACACACACACACACACCCCAGTTAGAAATACAGGTATCACAAATGGCATGCTGGACAACAGACAGAATTATCTTTTGATCTCAATTTCAGTTAAGTTACTTTTACTAGAAAATACTTTTGTGCCTGTACAAGCACTCCTTTACAACAGTAAATAAAACCCCTCCATTCTCCAGCAGCAGTGTTCTTAATAAAACAGTAAGAAAAATACAAAGTATGAACATATGTGCATCTACACAGATACTTCCAAAATACCAACTTAAAAAGCAAGAAGACAGAATGTAAATACAATACACACTTGTCTTCTGTTCAGTTATATACAAACTTGGAAGTTCTTGCAGTCCTTACAGAACTTTCTTCTAAGCCAGTATTGGCTGTTGTCAAGGTATCAATAGTAACTCATCTGTATAAGTGTTCAACAACTTTTCTGGAGAAGCTACACAAAATGTTCTGGCCTGAACATGTTTTAATATGCCGCACCTTCCCAATTCAAGTTTTGAATGTTTCCCTTACATTTCAGGGGTTATCAAGTCATTCTGACCACCATTAACCAACTGCTCACTAGGTTTAATTATTAAACAGATCTCCCAGTTCAATGATTTTGCAACTTCACCATATGAAGAAAGCCTGTATTCACTGCATGAAACATCCAACTGTTTCATGTTACATTAGTGTTTCCTCAACTTTGTTTTTGTTTCATCCTCAACCGACTTATCCAAAACAACTTGGTCATTCAGTTTACTTGCAATCACTTCACATCTTTTCCAGCTCCCTCAAGAAGCAGGCAATTGAATCTTACAAGGGCTTTTCCATTCACAAAAAAAGAAAAAGAATTTCATTCCTCCCCTGCCCAAAAAAGGACTACAAATGCTAATCCAATAGATAAGTTATGCAGTTCTCCTATGCGATCATGAGGGAAAATATCACCGTTGTTTCCCTCTGCCCTCATGATAAAGGAAGCTTTACAAATTTATAGTAACTTTGCTACCTTTGGTGTTCGACCTCTTTTTCTCTCCTGGGGATCTTTCTGAAGTTTTTCAATTAATGGAATGGCAAAAGAAAATGTTTTCCCAGTTCCAGTTCGTGCTTGAGCTATCACATCTTTGCCATCGTTTATAGGCCTGTAGGTCTTTACTTGTACTGGAAACAGGTAGTTCACTCCACGAGCTAGGGAAAGTAACAATTAGATTTTACCTAGAATAATGTAAATTTATCATGGTTCAACAGCTGACAACCAGTCATCAATTACTTTAAGAAAAAGCAAATTCACAGCAAGCAAACAAATCTAACATTCGTATTCAAATAGGAAAGAACATAATTGCAAAGTGTCATGCATTTCCATTAACTATGTTAACTGCCTTGCAGGATTAGATTAAGGTACACCCACTCCAGAGCAGCCAAGTAAGAAAGATATTTCAGCTACTCACAGCACAATGAATGCTCCATCCCCTATTTGTTTCCATCAACTGGGAGTTCTTGTCTCTGATAGCCATTTATAAGATAAATTGATAAGCCACTTATCAATTTGTCTAATTCTCCTCATCTATCTAAACTAGAAATCTAAGCAACAGATTCATAAAACAACAATGCATAAATATGCATTAAATGCATATAAAAATATGCATTTATGCAATAAATATGCATTGTCTGACTATATTATTTCTGTCTACCCTAAATCTATAGCCAATTACTCCAAATTCTAGCTTTATGAGGATTTGTTTAATTATGAAACAGATGTTTCAGAAATAATTTTCTAAAAAAGTAGCAAAAATGAGTAGTAACACAAAAACATGCTTTGGAATACCCAATATATAATTGAAATACATTTATCAATAAAACAAGAAATTTTTGGTACTGCTCAGGTGGAGCTGTGGTTTTAGAAGTAATATAACCTAGAGATGAGTACCAAGTTGTACTTAATCAGATACATTAGTGCTTCCATAATAAAATGATCTTACACTCCTCTTTCTAAGACCTCTTGCACACCTTCTAGCAACCCCCAAGGGCACTGCTGTGTTTGCACTGCCACTAGCAGTTTGGAAGCAAGCTTTAGCTTCGCCCACTTGTGGAGACCCTAGGGGATATCCATTTCCAGGCTGCTAATGACAGCATAGAAATGGTGATCCCAGCTGCTGCAGAGTTGCTTGGTGAAGATGACTTCAGAAATCCTTGCCAAAGGACAACTCAGAGGTACACTGCTGCTTGTACACTCCCAGTAGATGGTGAGTTGTGCACCCAAGATGTACACTCTTGGTTTGAGAGCCTGTGAGTATTGAGAACTTTCTAAACTGGAAGTCCCTAAACTGTGTACTCTATATTCACATGGCTCCTACCCTCAAACATCAGAGATGTCCTTTTCTGCCTCTTCTCCAGCAGTATATCCTGTTTGATAACCTAAATCTACACACAGTCTAAACACAGTGAGACCATTGGTTACATAACAACTTTCCTGGAGAGGCTATCTAAAAGCACGATACATGCCATTTTATTTCTAATCCTGAATAATTCCCAACTCTAAATTTGCTTTTATCCCCTGTCATAGTGCAATGTAATTTTAAAAAATTCAATTTCCATTATGATTCCAATATCTCTTTCCTGGGTAATTACTGCTAAATGAGAACTCATCAGAGGATTTGTAGAAATAGTATACTTTGTCCCAGCATACTTATACTAAATCCCAGTAACACTCATCTGTTGAGAAAGAACAACAGACTACCAAACTTAGTCAGGTATGAATTTTAAAAAGGATGAGGAGGAAGAGGCTTCAGAATGTGAACACTGAAAAATTGTACCTTTGAGGAGGTTAATAGTGGCTTCTGAGATATCAAAATTGGAGAAGTCTCCTTCCTTTTGCTCTGCTGTCAACTTCTGTTAGATTTTTAGAAAATCAAAAGATTAGTTACAAAATTAAAATATTCCAGAAAGTGATGCAAGTACCAAATTGAGTGTGTATGATGAAAGTAATCACAAGCTCAAATATTTGGGAAAAATGGAACAAAATGCAAGAAATATAAGAATATCCTGTAAATAAGGTTTCTATAATGTTCTTTTAGCAAGATACATTCAGTTTGCATGTCACCAACAATCCACAGTTAATGCATGTTTTAACCATGCATTCAAAATGCAAGTCTGAAAGATGAACAACCCAAAGTTCCAGCTTCAATTGCCACTTAAACAATCTAGGGCATCCCTGGGTTTCTTGCAGCAGAAGGGGGTACCTGCAGGCATACTTGCTCCCATTGGGACCATCTGTATGCAAACCTTTGCTCTACAACATCAATTGGGCTGTTTTTAAATCAACTTTATGATGCCACTTAACTGCTGCGATTTTTACTTTGTGTTGTATTTCTGCATTTTTCTATTACAGTTAAGTTGTATTAATAGATTTTTAGCTGTTGCCCTATGACCACTCTGAATTCAAGATGTGGGATGCAAACTTTAATACATACATGTAGTTTGAGCAGATTCACTTTTTAAATAAGTTTTATACACATGAAAGCCTAAGTATATGAAATCAAATTATATAAGCAATAAAAAATAGCTATAGGGAAGGCTCAAATATTTGGATAAGGCATAATCCAGTGGGGCCCTCCAAACTCAAAGCATTATAGGCAGACTGGGAGGAGCACAGAGCCAACAGTGACCTTTGTATGTCCCCTGCTCTGCAAAGCAGCTAGAGGGCCTATTTCAGTCATCTCACTGTAGCACTCCAGAATGAGCAGGAAAAAGTCTGAGGCACCACTAAAATAAAATGTATTTTCTCTTTCCTCTATAAATCACTCTCCTGTGGATACTTGTAAGTTCAGAGAAGCAGCGAGCTTGGTTCTTTCTGTCCCAACTGTGTGGGGAGAGCCCCACAGCTCTTTTCCAACCTCAGAACTAGGAATCCTATGGCCCTCTAGTCAGTGTCTGGGGACCCTAAGGTGTTCTGCCCAAGTATTTGCTGCCACAACATCAATGAAACAACCCTTTATCCTAACATTCATTTTTCTGTGTTTCAGTTCAGAAATAATGAAACATACAGCCCAATTCTTTGGAATTGAATGGAACCATTATATACAGTTGGAACTCAGAAACTAAAAACAAGGAGAGCCCCTGCAGGTGATCTCAGGATATGGGCAGCTGATGTGAGAAAAGGCATTCCTTCAAGTACCCAACCCTAGTCCCATGCCACACAGGGATTTAAAAGGGAAGCACCAATACTGCTTGGAAATAAAATTGCTCACCCTGTATCGGCTCATGAGATCATTCAGTGATCTTTTTCACCCAGTGCACTTTATTCCATCTTTTAAAAAATAAGCATCACAAAGAGTCATCTGCCCTATTCCCTCAGTTCTCTCTGTGATACCTATTTTCCCCCTTTATAGTATTTATTGAATTGATCAAACCAATTAACTAGCCAAAATGAAGGGCCTGAAGGCAGCATCTCACCTCATCTGGGTCATTTTCACCCTCTGTATTTGTTTCTTCACCAGAATTAATCTGTTTGTTTGAGTGAGCGATGCCATTGCTCATGGGGAATGTTGTCTTATGTTCTGCAATTATGGATTCAATATCATCTTCTACTTTCTTTTTCTTTTTCTTTGGTTTTGGAGGCTCCAGCTCTGAATCGGACAACTCATTTTCCTCTGGTAGAAATTCTTGCTTCAGTTTCTCGTGTTTAGCTTTTTTATCCTTCTGAAAAGCAAAAATATTAACAGAAAATAATTTTAGATCAGCACATACAGGATCCACTTATTTCCAGAGTAAACCATATCTTTCTCATTATTTATTGTTAGTTACAAAAGCTATGCCACATTCTAAAACAAAAGTGCATGACGTGGTGCCCACCAAATCTTTTGGACTATTACAACTCCTACCACCTCAGTGATCATAACCAGTGTCCAAGGATTATGGGAACTATAATTCTAAGCATTACCATGTTAGCTACCCCTGCTCTAGAAACTGACCAGAGAAGAAATCATCATGTTTTCTTCTTTCCTCACTTTTGCCTTTTTAAAGTTAATAAGATTTAAAGATACACAATCTTCCATCTCTTTTTACAACTCATCTGACTTTCCTGCTTGTTTAAGTTAAATTTCAACTACCTGTTAAATCAATTTTCCCTCATAAATGGATTATGGGAGAAGTAGTGTCATAGTTAACACTCCTCCGATGTCTATCTTATATCATACTAACCCCCTCCTTTTTTGGTGGTCAGGATGCAAGAAAAGAATTATTAAGGAATGACAAGCTAAAAATGAAGCACGTCGTAAAACTCTTACAAAACTGTGATCAGCTTTTTTAAAAATGCCAATGTATATGCAAATACATCCCCTTCACAAGCCACATCTGTGGAAGTTGATTTTTAATTTTGTTTGTTTTGATGCAGGAAGTTTAACATTTGTTGCAGGTATCTGAAATAAAGAGTTTGAAATAAGAGCAGCAAGGTTAGTTACATAGTTTTTTCAGTCTTAGTTCACAAGCTTAATACTAGCAAGGATTACAAGATATAACTTGCAATGTCTTGTTTGCTCTTATTTCTCATTCTGTAGGATTACTGTCTCCTTCGTGGCCTTGTCGTGGAGAAGGGGCTTGTATAGCTCAATGAAGCTATGAGCTATGCCATGCAGGGCCACCCAAGACGGACAGGTCATAGCAGAGAGCTCTGACAAAACGTGATCCACTGGAGAAGGAAATGGCAACGCACTCCAGTATCTTTGCCATGAAAACCCCATGGACAGTATCAAAAGACAAAAAGATATGACACTGGAAATTGAGCCCCTCAGGTCGGAAGGTGTCCAATATGCTACTGGGGAAGAGCGGAGGGCTACTACTAGTAGTGCCAGAAAGAATGAAGCAGCTGGGTCAAAACTGCAAGGACACTCAGTTGCAGATGTATCTGGTGGTGAAAGGAGAGTCCAATGCTGTAAAGATCTATACTCCATAGGAACCTGGAATGGAAGATCCATGAATCAAGGCAAGCTGGATGTGGCCAAACAAGAGATGACAAGACTGAGCATCGACACCTTAGGAATCAGTGAACTAAAATGGACAGGAATGAGTGAATTTAATTCAGATGACCATCAGGTATACTACTGCAGGCAAGAATCCCTCAGAAGAAATGGAGTAGCCTTCATAGTCAATAAAAGAGTAGGAAAAGCAGTACTGGGATACAACCTCCAAAATGACAGAATGATCTCAGTTCAAATCCAAGGAAAACCATTCAACTTCACAGTAGTCCAAGTCTATGCCCCAACCACTGGTGCTGAAGAGGCTGAAGTTG